TTCTTTTTCTCCCACGTGTCCTATGATGAATTACTTTCCACCATCCTAAAATCCCACACCAATGATTATGGTCCCGACAATATTCCTGTAAAACTAATAAAATCCACCCTTCCTGACCTTATTCCTGTTCTTTATCATATCTACAATTTTTCATTGCAGAACTCCATATTCCCATCCTCCTGGAAAACAGCCCTAGTCCGACCTTTGAATAAAATTGCCAATCCTACCTCACTGCACGACTTCCGTCCTATTTCTCTCCTATCCAACCTCTCAAAGCCGCTAGAACGCCTTGTCCAAAATCAGCTCTCAAACTTCCTAGAGGAGCGTTCCTTTATCAACCCATGCCAATCTGGCTTCCGACCCGGCTATTCAACGCAATCTGCTCTCCTTAAAATAGCCCATGACCTACAAAACTCCATTGAACACCAAAACCTTGCTATCCTCATCCTTCTAGATTTTTTCAAAGCGTTTGATACAGTTGACCATAACATCCTACTTACCAAATTGCAAAACCTTCCTCTATCCAACAGTGTCCTGCATTGGTTCAAATCCTTCCTTTCCAATCGATCTCAGTATGTAGTAGTCCCTGATCAACCTCCTTCAAACACACTTCCCCTCTCCTGTGGTGTCCCTCAGGGTTCCTCTCTCTCTCCTACTCTGTTTGCTATTTACATCAATGATCTTCCCCTCCAGATCAGTCACTCCCGATACCACATCTATGCAGATGATTTCCAAATATACCTTTCCTTTCCGCCCTCCGACCTATTATCTGCCACAGACAAACTTCAAGAAGACTTAGATGGAATTTGTGACTGGGCAAGAACAAACAAGCTGAAGTTGAATGCGGATAAGACAAAGGCAATCTTAATAGGCTCCAATCACCTCCTTAAAACTGTTCCTACTATTCCAACTCTGTTCCTACATAATAACCCCATCAAATTTCACCCCACCATAAAAAATCTTGGAATAACCATTGATCAAACGCTTTCTTGGAAAAATCATATATCCAATATTTCCCGCCGTACCATTTCCATCCTAAAACGTCTTAACTACTCCCGTCACCTATTTCCTTTTGAAACCCGTAGGCTCCTAGTCACTTCCTTAATTTTTCCCCACTTTGACTATTGCTGTACGGTATATGGGGGCCTCTCTGGGGATCTCGAGGCGAAACTAAAACGTTTGATAAATTGCTTTGTACGATTCATCTTCGGGATCCCAAGGGACGCCTCTGTTTCCCATTTTTACGCGGAGTTAACTTGGCTTTATCCTTCCTACCGTCGTAAGTATTTCCTGGCATCCTTCCTCTTTCAAGTCATCCAATCCCACCGTCCCTCATACATCTCCGAGCTCCTTCAATTCAAATCCTCTGTTCGTTCCCGCAATACTCGTTCCCGGTCTTCTGATTTATACATAAGGGCCCACCGAACCGCTGCTTTCGACAAATCGTTCATTATCCGATCCTCATCTCTATGGAACTCCATCCCTTCCCATATCCGTCAATCTAATACCCTTCCTACCTTTAAATCCCGCCTGTTCAATCATTTCTTATCCATCCAGTCCCCATAAAATCGTAAATAGATACTAATGAAAATATGTACATAAGTTATTAGTTCGTTCTTCATTATTTGTTCTCCAATTTTTGTTTATCTATTTTTTTTTTCTCTTTTATTATCAACTGATCAAAATTGGAAAGCAACTTATATGTATATGTGTATATATATATATATTATTTTTTTAACCAAGACTGTTCAATTACTCTGTATTTTTATTTATATATCTCTGAGGCTCCTTAGCCCTCATTTCTGTCTTCCTGTATTATTCTAAAGGGACTCGTCCCAGAATAAATAAAGTATTATTATTTTCTCTTTATTTTTCACATATACAATGGTGTTTAAATTATGTAATAGTTGGGGACTGTTCAATTACTCTGTATTTTATTTTTTATTTTTTAATTTTTTTTTTTTTTTTTTTTTGTTTTCTTTCCGTGATTTTTTATAAATATTACATTTTTATGTCATAAGTAATCCTATGTCGTGATTTTTTTTCTTTGATTTTATGTTTCCTTAATTGTTGTAAAAATCTTTGGGTATTTAAAAAATTGATTCTAATAAATACCCGTTGCTGAAAGAAAGCCTTTACCAGTTCTTCTTTAATTTCTACATTTTGTTCCATAGGAAAAAGATTAGTCAATTTTTTTACAATATTTGTTTTTTTTACAATATTTTTACATTTACATTTTAAAATCCAATTTTTCTACGAGCGTCCTTTGGAAAAGTATGAAATGATATTTTCTTTCATATCTTCTTTGCGTCAATTAGATTATTGTTGCAAGATGCAACTGCGTATCTTGTACCTGGCATTCTATAAGATTGTATTAATAATTATGTTATTATGAGATATACAAGAAATACTAGTAAGAACAAACGCATTCTGTGTAACATGTTATTAAAAATAAATACTCGTTATAATATTATTTTAGAGACGGATAAGTAGTTGACTGTTAAGATTATAAGATGAAAATAAATTATCAGGATTTGCAGTAAAATTTGTTTATTTTTTTAATTAAATTTGTTTATTTAAAGAAATTTTGACTGCAAATCCTGACAAAGATCTTCATCCTTATAATATCGTTATAATATTAAAAGAAATACCCACGAGATCTACAAACAAAATTACACAAACATTGTGCTAAAATGTTCTCTAAATAAATATAAACCTTAGTTTTTTCTATTTATGTAATATATTTGTATATTATTTACAGAGATTTTGAAATAAAGACTTTAAAAACAATCTTAATATCAATTTCGTTTTAGGTCTGGCCTGTAATTTTCATACCATTTTATTTTAGATTGATAGGCGTATTTATTTATTTATCTACTTGAAATTATCTCCAATCAAACTTCAAAAACACAGAAAAATATTCTTCTCAATAAATTAAACAAGAAAACAAAAAAAAAGCACAATAATGTTGAAATAAGCCTTCATTGACAGGCTTGAAAGAGTAATAGGTAGGTCAGACAGTCTATTCCTTACATCACGTTCCAAGTTCTCCCACCACACATTTCTGAGTGAGCGAACCTGGTAGTTTTATTGACCTTGGGTATAACCTATACAATATAAAAACAAATGTAACCTCTAGAATATAACAAGAAACAATAAATATAAATTATACAATATAAAAAAATATAATTTCTATAAAATAAAAATAAATAATAAACATAACCTCTACAATATAAAAATAAATAAGAAATATAATAACTAAAATAAATCCAGTCCTGTATTAATGCGTTAGTGAGGAGGGATATTTTTAATATGGTCTGTAAAAGAGGTACATAAATTGAGAACAAATAATATTCTTTTTAAAAAAATTTAACATTCTATTTTAATTAATTATTTACTTATTACAACTTTTTAGAAGTGACAAAACTACATTCTATGAAATAAAAGAATGACTCAAAGACGAATTATATTGTAATGATAGATTTTAAAATTTGAAGCAGTGCATGGTAGGTAGATGATACAAATTTTTAAACATTTTTTACAAAATAGAATTTGGACTGTTTATATAACTGATATTTGTTAAATTAATATGTGTCTAATAAGGATGTGTTTTGAACTATAACAACTGAATTAAAATTACTTTGCAGGATCTTGAAAATGGATCCTGAAGCCGAAACGTCAAATAAATAATACAGGATGTAAAAACTGTGTACATTTGGTGACCTTTGGCCTAATATTTTAGAAAAAACTTATAAGAAATATAACTTCTATAATAAAATAATAAATATAACCCCTACAATATAAAAATAAATCATAAATATAACTTCTACAATAAAAAAATAAATATAACCTCTACAATATAAAAATAAATTTAACCTATGGAATTGATAACCTAAACAAATATTATTACCTACAAAAACTAATTCAAACAAAATAACCTATACGACAAACAAAATTTATATGACAGCAAGACAATGTTCACACTATGAAAGCAAAAACAAGAATGAGGTCTTGCGAAACTGACATCTCTTATATACTCTTGAATGCCAGTATTACTAATACAACCTAAATATTAATCAATACTACCAACACAATCTAATATTAATTAAATTTAATATATAGGGGTGTGAAGTAACAACCACCAGAATCATAGATGTACATCTAAGGCATTATCCACAGCCTGCTTGATTTTATTATTCTAACGTCTATTTTTGTTATTTGTACTCATGTTAACCTATAAACCTTTTCTGAAGTTATGTAATTTACCATGATTGTTTTTTAAAATTTTGCCCATGATGTCTTACCATGTTAACCTTAATACTTTATTAATTATTTTCTTTTTTCCCCACAATTTCATATAGATATCTTTTATTTTTTTTTAAACTAGTACAGTTATTACAGTTAAACCACTATGTTCCTAGCTAATTTTACTTACAACCTTTTTAATAATTTCCAATATTTACTTACAAATTTCCATATTTTTACCAACATTTTCAGCAATTTTCAATAAAATTTATCATTTATACCTATATTTCATATAATTTTTATCTATATGTAACTCATCTTATTTACACTTATAATCATATTCAATCATCAAGTGTCAAGGTTTATCTGGGCACTTTTAAAACACTGTCACTGTACAATTTGCACTCACCCTGACTTGTTTGTTCATGAATTAAATCATATTTCTTCTAGAATGTTTCCACAACTTCAACAGTCACTACTACATCAATTTTAGCTTCCTATATTATTCCTGTATTCCTCCACCTCATTGTCTATTTTTCTTAAGTAGTTCCTATCACTATTTTCTCACCAATAACCCATCTACTCTATTGACCCATTATTAATTTTCAATTGCTTTCCTGATTAATTTTTGTTTTGTTGTTTAAGTGAATGAGTTTATTGGTCAATTTGAGTTATTCAGTATCTTCTAAATACATAAAAAAAATGCCAGTGAAGCAATTTTTGGTAAAATAAACTTATCTATTTATTTGTTTTAGTTGATAGTAGCTGCGAAGTAATTAAAAATGAATCTAGGCTTGCTCCCAGGAAACCTACAACAACAAAATCATCATCGCCCAACAGGCAGGGACCTCAGCGATGCCAGGTTTTTTCTGCTATATGATGATAATATTTGATTTATTAATTAATTAAATAATAAATTCATTTCAATGATTTCATTTAGTTGTATGGAAGATAATAATGAAATAAAAAATTCTTATACTGAAAATGGTTTAGCTTCCATTCTAAAGTGGAAAGTAATCCAAAGAAACTGTCTCAAATATGTTTTTGTCCTATTATATTATATAATACTTCTTTGTTTCTTAATATATATTGCAATCAGAGAACCAATGTTCAACTTTTTAATTTAAAAACTAGTAAAAACTTTTTATTAAAATTATACTATGTCATAAAACATTTTCAAATACTGAATAGAATGTAAAAAAATATGAACATAATCACTCAACAATAATGCTTTAACAAATATGGTTTCATAGGACAGCCGTCCTGCACCATCTATTTTGTTAGACGGAGACCTTATTTAAAAAGGGATTCAATTTTCTTTAAGAACATCAAACAATACCCTCATAATATTTGATATATTAATGTATTCTACTCTTGTAGGATTTGATGTTGAATAAATTTAAGCAATTTTAATTTTAGAAAGTTTTTAAAATTATAAATTAGAGTTAACAATATTTTTAAGATATCAAACAATTTATCAATTCAAGTAATTTTTAATTTCTATTTGTACTAGAGCTATTTAACTAACCAAAAAATATACTTTCATTATACGGAAAAAAAACTCCAATTTCCATGAATTTATCACTGATACAGTCTAAATTAATCATTGGAAGACTTATACTTCCTTACTTATCCAGCGCTACAGTCCGATATGAACCTTGGCCTCCCTCACAATTTAACTTTAGCTGTCTCAATCCACCATCTTCCTCCTCCACCCAGTCACTCCAAGCCTAGCCAAGTCCTGCTCTACATCCTTCAGCCAGCTTGTTCTGGGGCGTCCCCTTCTTCTTTTACCTTGGAAATCCTCCTTTATTATCTTTTTGGTCATCTGCCCTTCTGATAACCTTTCAACATGATCAAGCCAACTTAACATTCCTGATTTAAAAAATCTGACTATATCCTCATACCCTTATGAGGTTATCAAGTTCCATTGTTTCTTTTCTGATTCTCCATGTGCCCTCTGAACATGCTGGGCCGAAAATAGGTCTTAATACGTTTCTCTCAAAGACCCTAAAGGCTAATTGGTCCGAGACTTTCAGGTCCAGGTTTCTGCTCCACATCACACTACCGCACAGTGGGACGAATGACCAATCTAGGTGGAAAAAACTCTAACACTTGATATTATATTTTTATTCCAGCTGTGGTTTTAATTGCCGTATGGGCACATATTTTTTCTCAGATGATGCTTAGTAGGTATATTAAAAAATAAAATAAAAGAATTCATTGCCTTTGTCTTAATTAAATACTACGCTTCTATACCTATAAAATAAAAATTATTATTGTAAAAAAGAAAATTAACTAGTAGTACTAAGCTCAAATGAAAGATAACATAATTATTGAATAAACTTGAGCTATCAAATAAGTAGTTGTTTAGAGGATTCTATTTACCATTTGAAACCACTAAAATCAAAACGATTTATGATTATCTCATTAAACATACCTATATTATCTTATTATGTCTGTTTTAAAAAATTTCACCATTCATTTTTTCCTCCTAGATTGGTCATTCGTCGCACTGTGTACTGGTCTTATCAGAGACCTGTATATTTTTAATTTGGTTTGCTTGGTCAGAAGGCTTGATTTAGTCAGGTTTTGAAGGCCATAGTAGGCTCTGTTTCCAACCATGATTCTACTTTTGATTTCAACACTTCCCTTGTTCTTGCAGTTTAATACCATTCCCAGGTAGGTGAATCGATCAACACCCTTAAAGCGATTGGTATCCACAACTAAATATCTTGTGACCTTCTTCTGGTTGCAAAAGCAGATAATACCATATATTTGGTCTTGTCTTAATTTATCTCCAGTCCAACTTTCCTGCTTTCATTATCTAATTGAACTAGCAATTCTTTTAAAGAATTTTCACTTCTGCCCAATATCACAATATCATCTGCATTGTACGACGTTGAATAGAATGGCTGATAAGGCATCCCCATGTGTCATTCCACTTTTGTACGTGACTTTGTGACTGGTTTGATTTACAATTAGGATACTTGCTGTCTGTTTCATTAGAAAGATCTGGTCCATAGTCCCTCTGTTAGGATGGAAACTACACTGGTAATCCATAAGGATCCTTTCCAAGTAGATCTTAAGCTTTTCCACTATCACCACACTGGTAATCCATAAGGATTCTTTCAGAATAGATCTTAAGCTTTTCCACTATCAGCCTTGACAGAAATTTGTATGCTGCATTCAGGAGCGTAATTTCTCTTTAGTTTTGGCATTGGGTCTTATTCCATTTTTTAAAGGTATGCAAGATCAATCCAGAGCACCAATTGGTCACCATTTTTTAATTTTTCCAGATGCTATAAATTAAATTATACATACTTTGATGCTGTAGATCTCCGCCTACTTTGAGGATCTCACAGGGAATATTATCTTCTCCAGCGGCGCGGCTATTCCTTAGTGAAGCTATGGCATCTTCAAAATCCTCATAGCAGGGTGGTTCACTATCAGTGTTCTCCATCGTATTCCTCCCAATGTTCAATCCACATTGTGCTTCCTGAGCTGGACCGTCTACATAAAGAATTTCTTCAAAATGTTCTGCCCATCTATTCATAACTTTAATGTCTTCTCCATGCATCTTTCCATTTTTATTGCAGCATATGTTCATCCATGGTTGAAACCATTTCTCATTCGCCTGACTGCCTGATAAAATTTTCTTTCTTCTTTGTTCTTCAACAGTTCCTCCATAGCTTCAACCTTCTTCTTCATCCATTCTCTCTTCTTCTTTCTGCATAACTTGGCCGCTTTTTGCCGTCTTACTTGATGTTTTTCCCTATTACCTCTTGTATCTTTTTGGAGCATTCTCTTTCTATCTTTATTCTTTTCATCTATGGCTCTTACGCATTCTTCATCATTCCTTCTTGAAGTTCTTTCACCTAACACTTCCTGGGCAGCCATCTGCATTGCATCCCTCAATATACTCCACCCATTCTCTTTGTCTCCCCTTTGCTCTTCTTCTTGTAATTTAGTGCTTAGTGCCTCTTGAAAACATACTTTCGCTTGTTCATTTCTGAGACTTAGGAGTGTGATTCCATCTCACTCTTCTTAGCCTACTAACTTTCTGCACTTTACTCAATTTATGTCTGAAGACGGCTCTTACTAAAAAGTGGTCTGAATTGCAATTTGGTCCTCTACAAGCTCTGACATCAATTATACTGGAGGCACTTCTAGCAGAGACCAGTACGTGGTCAATTTAATTTATGGTTCCGCCCGCTGATGCTTTTCAGTTGCCCAAATGGATGTTCTTGTGTTTGAAGGTAGTACTCTTTATTATACACTGACAGGCAAAAAATTCCACCCACTTGATTATTTCATGTTTTCGTCTAAAAATATTTATGCTTTGGATTGGTCTATAGTTTTAATGAATAAATAGGTAATCTTTTTGTTTGTTTTCAATTAGGAATGTTTATATAGAGGACAATAACCCATAATCCTTAATTCAATGAAATGATTCTAGATTGCAATGTTTCCAAGATTCCAAAACGAACCATTATTATTCTAAAAGAAATTAATTACATCATCATTTAGTTGCGCGTGTTTCCTCCTCTTGCCTTCACTACTTCTTGAAGATGCCTCGGCAAACTTTCCACCAGTCAGGAAATGTCCCTTTGCTGGAGGATAGCCCATTCCTCCCGAAGAGCCATTTCAAGGTCCTGCAGTGTATCAGGAAGTGTTGCACGCGCTCTTATTCGTCTTCCAAGGTTATCCCATAAATGCTGAATGGGGTTCAAATCTGGAGAACGTGTTGGCCAGGCTAAAACCTCAATATTGTTCTGTTGAAGGAACGTCTGCACTATGTGGGAGACATGTGGGCGTGCATTATCGTGCATTAGAATAGAACGATCGCCAATTTTGTTGAGGATAGGCAACACATGAGGTTCCAAAATCTCTGCATATCTAATGGAACGTCCATCATCAATAAGTGCCACACCACGCACAACATCCTTAGCACTAAGAGGCATTTTTAAACTTAATATTGAAAAAATTAAAAGTGGGAGACTAATAAATGTGCTGCAAGAAACGGCACTGAACTAATGATACTGAATAAACATTTTGATTCCATAGAAAGTAAACATTGGAATCTAGAATCATTTCATTGAATTAAGGATTAAGGGTTATTGTCCTCTATATTAACATTCCTAATTGAAAACAAACAAAAAGATTACCTATTTATTCATTAAAAACAATAGACCAATCCAAAGCAGAAATATTTTTAGATGAAAACATGAAAAAATCAAGTGAGTGGAATTTTTTTGTCTTTCAGTGTATATAGTCTCGATACTACAAACTGCGCAAGACAGTGCTCATTTTCATTTGATTTATCATGTAAGGTAAAAATACCTGCTACTCCTATTAAATAGCTTTCTTTACCTATTTGGGCATTTAGATCTCCAATTATAATAACTGCATCATATCCAGGGACACTATCATAAGCTTAATTCATCTTAAAAAGCATCCTTTTCCTCATCATCCTTCTCTTCGGTGGGTGCACGGACCGACAGCAATGTAAAGTTCCTAAAATTTCCTTTAAGCAACAATTTACATATCCTGCCACTAATAGTTTCATAACTTAATATCGCATTCCTTGTTGATTTATTAATTATAAAGCCTATGCCCAGCTGGCCTTTCTTTGTTGTGTCCCCACTGTAGATAAGTGTATACTCTTTTTTATCTAAACTATCTAATTTCTTGGAGCGCTGCCATGTCTATTTTATGGGAAGACTTATAAAGTTATAAAAAAAATTATGGATACAGATTTTTAATGATTGATACTTCATAAAAATATTAAATTATACTTACATCTTTAAAATAAGCAATTGCTTAATGCAAGTTGTAGAAATTGTTTAATGCAAGCAATTGTATTGTTTAATGAATAGTTGTAAAAGAATATATAAATACAACATTTATTTTTTAAAATGTAAAAATTCTAGAAGTTCTTTGTATAGCAAATTTTAAATGAATTGCTGATTTTTATGCTGGGTAACATTTTTGAGACTCATCCAAAGGATCTAAGCTATCTGTTCGGGAATTTGTTAAGATAAACTATGATGAACTTTTGAATTTTTTATATTGCTATGTGAAATATATTATTTTTAATTGCAGGCAACACTGCTGTTATAAAAGTTTTTTTAAAAACAGATGTTATTAATTATAATTAATGTGTTTATTAAAAATTGTCTTTGTAAATATTTGCTGAAACGTAAGTTTTTTTTTTTTTTAATTTCACTCCACTAATTTTTTTAAATTTCCATTGTTATTTACTTTTGTATTACGATAATCTATCCAATCTAGAAGAAATTACAATTAACCTCAAAAGAAAAAAAAATCAATTGAAATAAAATATGTATTATCTTAAATAAATGAATTGCTTGTAATGTGAATATTTATTATTTTTGAACAGGTATGTGGCAAAGTTTTTGCTAATGCTTCTGCTCTGGCAAAGCATAAGCTCACACATAGCGATGAACGCCGATACATTTGTACCATGTGTGCTAAAGCATTTAAACGACAAGATCATTTGTAAGTATCTAATCTATAAAATGTGATGATAATTTTTTAATGTAAAGATTAAAACTTTATTGTTATCAGTTAACAACAGGCGATCTTTTCTTCGCTTACAGTAAATAGTATATATTTTATTAAATAAATATGTACATGTGAACAGATGCTGTGACATCTACAATATATGTGACATGTCCTATATATTTTTGTCGTATCTTCATGGGATATACATCACAGTTAGATTTTTTATATCTAGAATACAGTTTACACGGCTTTCTCATTTCTCAAAATGTTTTCATACTCACAGAGGTACCCAGAAGAGGAGTCCATTGCTTAAGTTATACCATCAAAATTTTTTAGGAGGTTTATATTTTTACTTACTTTTTAATTGATAGTAAAATGTCGGGGAGGACCATATTTTTTCGGGATTTCAATTTGTGAGAATTTTTAAACCAGTGAACAAAGAATAAGACAAGGAACACACTTTATAATTCTTCTTTTCCTTGTACTATATTTAATAAGGTAGAGCAAAATATAATTGGGTTGGTAGAATATTGAAAAATCCAGGTTTTCTAATTCCTCCCACCGTTGGAAGTGCCACTTAAGAAAAACTGCTAATCCCCCCCCCTTTTTTTCTAAATATCTTTCATGTATCAGTCTGACAAGAAATATATTGATAACTAACTCTCTTTTATTTTATTTTTTTTAATTACCTATTATTTGAGACCAATACAAAACTTGTAGCTATATTACGTCTCCAGATAGAGCTCTTTGAATCATAAGATTTTTACTAAAAAATTTGAAATCTTCAAATATTCTACTTGTTACTGCTTGCCAGCAACAATTTAATAAATCCTGAAACTGTTTTACAAAGAGCATTTTTAAATAATATGTTAAAATTTAATTTTAAATGATTTGTTTTGGTGGGAATTGGCGAATAGCCTTCCGCTTTTATATCAGGGAACTAGGTTATTTACACTCGTAAATATTTTTTAAAAACTCCGGCAATGGATATCAACTTTTTGAGGGTGTTTAACTGTAGTTGGGAATTCGGAAATTTAATACCTTTTGTGACACTAAGTGACAAGAAACAATAAGAATATATATATGAAATGTGGGACTTAGTAAATACACTTTGAATGAATTGACTCACCTGGTTTGCTATTCTTAAATCGTGAGGCATATAGGACAACTAAATAAATAAATGACTTTTCACTCCTGTCTAACAAACCAATTTATTTTACAACTGTAATAAGTGAATCTAATAAAGTCTTATAACTCTAGGCTTGATATTCTTGGTCTTCAATTCCTGCCTCTCTCATCTCAGGTAACGTCCCTACACAATCATCAAGTGCCCTCTCCTCTCTTCTGACAACCTCCTTTCTACCTGTCCTGCCCTAGAGTGCCTTCCCTCTTCTCCGGCGTCCTACTCCAGCTGTTGCTACCTGATCCGTCCTTTTCCTTCTTTCTTCTTTATCGATTGTTTATCGATATGAGACTTTTCAATGAATAATTTGTCCACTGCATAATTGAGTACAATTCATTGTGCAACCTCACATTCCTATATATTCCTTCTCATTCCCTCACACAATGTCACATAAAGGAGTAAATACTAGGGGATGTCTACTGTAAGAGAGCCCTGATGTATTCCATTATTTTTAACTCATTACTAGTGGTTCATCAGATATTGCTATTGTTTATTTTGATTTTTGTTTAGAAATGGGCACATGCTGACACACAGAAATAAGAAACCATACGAATGCAAAGCTGAAGGCTGCAGTAAATCCTACTGTGATGCTCGATCACTGAGGAGGCATACGGAAAATCACCATGCTGGCTCTGGTTCTACCAATTCAACACCAGAACAATCCCCACCCACTTGTATACAATATGCTCCACCTCCTAATGAACAAAAGGTAAATAAATAATTATTCATAGTTTTATATTGTGAATGAATTATATAATTATTTCATACAAACTGGCAGTAAAAAAAAAACTGGCACACCTTGGATTTAAAACATAAAAACTGCAGATTAAAGAAATATTTTTAAGCCTGAAGTAATAACTACTATATAACAAGTCTAAGAGGATTACTATGCATTAATTCTTTTAAGAAAATTTCATAATTCTCTCAAGGATTAATGATGAAAGTATTAAGTAAAACATGGATTTTTTCATCAAAATCGAAAAGTTATGAGTTCAAATCTTGTTCATGGGATTCTATAACAAAAGATAACAAATAAAATAAAATATTAATTAATAGTAAAATTAAACTTAATCATTATCTTGTTGGCATTATTAACAATATATAAATTATTAACAATACTGTTCATCTTTAAGAAACCAAGTATCTAGGCACTGATGGTCTATTTATTGTATAACTACCTAATAGACCTACCATAAGCTAATATTGTTTATTAAATAATTAATATTTAAATTTTTTATTTTATTTCACAGCAAGTAAAAGGTCCTAATTCATCTGAGAAGCTCACAAAACAACATTTGGATCTTATCCAACATGTCATACAAAAAAATCAACATTCATCAACTAAATCTTTTGACGCAACCAAAACTAACACTAATGCATCAGCTGTTATAGCTTCTACTAATGGTACTAAAACATGGACAATGCAGGTAAATATATAAAATACATTTTGTTATGTCTGTTTAAACTCTTCTTATATAAATATATTAGTCCAGTACCCTAATAACCATTTATATTTTTTGTTCTTGATTTCAGTTTTAACTCATGTATAGTAAAAGATGTAGATATCACTGAAATAAACCATTATTTATTTCCTTTTTTTTTTTTCACCTTGTAGATTTTTGACCATCTAAACCAGCCTTCCACCTCTGATTAGAGAAGGCTTTCTCCAATCAGATGAAAATCTTGGGCTACAGCTTTCTCTTTTTTTGCATGCCACTCTGCAGTCCTTTTGTTTATTCTATCTAACCATCTGATTTTTGCTCTTCTATGTTGTCTGTTGCTAACTATTGTGGCATTTGTTGTTATTGCAGAGTAGTTGTTCAGAACATTTGTGCCAACAGACAATTTTGGTAGTAGTAGGAAAACAGTAGAACACCACCTGTCAGGTTTTTCCCAAGGATCATTGGGATAAATAATAGACTGTGACCATCAGGCAAATGTCTTGCATACTTTTTAACCCTTCTAGCTAATATTAATTCTAATGGTGCATTATCTTAAATAATCTTTAGTCTCATAAAAGCTAAGTTATTACCGAGAGGATTATTGTTCTTGGAAATATTATTGGAAATAGTAATATAGTAATATTATTGGAAATATTACTAGTGATATCCAGACTGCAATAGATGACAAAAAACTAACCATACTTATACTTCTTGATTTCTCCAAAGCTTTTGATTCCATTATCCATTCCATCCTTTTCAACAAACTAAAATCATTATCCTTCTCCAATAGTTCCATCTCTTGGTTCCAGTCTTTCCTCTCACAACGAACCCAAGCAGTTTCCATACCTAATCAACCTCTATCTGCCTACCTTCCTTTATCCTCAGGAGTTGCACAGGGTTCAAGCATGTCTCCTCTTCTTTTCAGTTCTTATATTAATGACCTAAATGATTCAATTATCCATTGTTCCCACCACCTTTATGCCGACGATTCTCAAATCTATTTATCGTTTTCTCCCGCTGAGTTATTGGTGACATTTGCCAAAATTCAAGAAGATTTAGATCGAATTAGTGCCTGGGCCAACTTAAATGGATTAAGGCTAAATGCTGCCAAAACTCAGGCCATTCTCATTGGTTCCAAGCCCCTTCTTAGATCCCACACCAACTTTCCCTCACTCTATCTAAACAACCACCCCATCACCTTCTATCCCTTTGTTAAAAATTTAGGCTTTCTCATAGATCAAACCCTTTCCTGGAATCACCATATCTCTCATATATCCCGCCGTGCAATTTCTACCCTCAAACTATTCCATCACTTCCGCCATCTTCTACCCCAAAATACCCGTAGACTCCTAGTTTCCTCTCTCATCTTTCCCCACTTTGACTACAGCTGTGTGGTGTACGATGCCCTCTCGGTGAAACTGCGTGATAGACTCAAGAAACTTATGAATTGCTTCGTAAGATTTGTAATTGGAACCCCGAGACGCTCCCGTGTCTCCCACCACTACACTGAGTTAGGGTGGCTCTTCCCCTCCTTAAGAAGACAATATTTCCTTGGCACTTTCCTTTATCAAATCATTACCGATCATCGTCCTTCTTATGCCTACAACCTTCTCCAATTTAAGTCCTCAATCCATTCACTCACTACAAGATCCCGACCTTCTGACCTATACATCCCTTCTCATAGATCTGCCTCATTCCAAAATTCCTTTATAGCCCGCTCTGTCAACTTTTGGAATTCCCTCCCGATCAAAATTCGACATGCCCCTTTCCTGTACACATTCAAAAACCTCCTATTCCAATTCCTGTTCCAAAAACAGTCAGATACCAGCTAACTATTAATATTATATATGTATTGTGTAGCAATCATATAATCATAACACTTGGTAAGAGATAGTACATGCATTTCCTACTACGTAGGAAATTTCAATACATACATTTTTTTTTATTCAATTATAAGTAACTGTTTATTTTTATATATATATTCAAGTAAAGTTTTTTTTTTGTTTTTTTTTTTATGAAATGAACTCATTGTATCTCTTTTTCGTTCTTCATTTCTCAAAGTGTATGTTTATGTTGTTCAACCCTTAAATATAATTTTGTTCATAGTTCAAGTGATTCGTTCATAGTTTTAATTGTTTTGTTCATAATTTTAAATGCTCTGTACATAGTTTTATCTGTATTGTATATAGCTTGTGCACCTAAAATTTTCTTTACTTTTTATTTTATTTTATCAATTTTATTTATTGTTTCAACGTTCAGGCCAGTAATATTCTATTATTTTGTACATTATTGTTATTCTGAAGGGACTTAGTCCCAGAATAAAGTTTTTTTTCTAAAAAAAAAAAAAAAAAAAAAAAAAAAAAATATTCTAGGTTAATTTTTTTTTTTACTTTCACTTACCTATATATGTGGGGGAGCGGGGTAGCTCAGTGGTAGGGCACTGAGCTTCCAATGCAAAAGTCCCGAGTTCGAACCCCGGCTCATGGCAGAAAATTTATTTATCTGTTTCATTGGCCGTGGGGCGACCTTGGGTCAGAAGTCCCTCCTGAGGCACACCCAGCCTCTATAAAGTGGGTACCCTTAATTAAAGAATTGATTAAGGGGGAAAACCTGGCGGTTGAGCGTGATCTCGGTCAAATCACCTCCTTGCACAACCGTTGACCTAGAAACAGTGCTTTCCCTAAATAGTACTGAACCCCAGACCCTTCATGGGTTGTAGTGGTACAGGTTTTTTTTACCTATATATGTAATATATAGTAAGGGTAAGTAATGTGATCGTGAAAATTTTCTAATCAGAGTTTTCGATAGAAATGCTCGTGTTAAGGTCCCCTGAGTCCAAATAACCAAGTCCCACAAAATGTTGTTTGTATGTGTATGTATGTGAACAGCCTAGCTCAAAAACAAAAAGTCACACAAAACTGAAATTGTGTATTTAAGGTTTGTATATGCCTGGGATTTTACAGAAGCTATTACGTCTAAATTGGCAAACCGGAAGTAGTACTTTATATAATCGATTTAACACATTTTTACGATCTTCTCATAAACGGCTCTAACGATTTTGATTAAACTCACTAGGTCAGTGTATTATTAAGTGGTTCTTAATTTAAAGTAGAATTATTCTCAAAGGTAGTTAGTCGACTGTTCTACTTATCATGGGTGATAAATATTCAGGACGCAGTCTTTTTTAAATTTTTTTATTTTTTCCAACGTTTCAACCCAAACATGTGGGTCATCTTCAGGGTTGAAAATGTTTTTTAAATTACAATCAGAGATATAATAGTATACAACCGCTAATTATAAATAATAAACTATAGTGATTGATAGTACATGAATCTTAAATAATATTGCAATACACGTATTAAAATTAAATATGTGAATAGTTATACAAACTAAAAATAAAAAATTAATATATTTTAATTTATTATTTATTTGACCGCACCCTCGACTAACTCCTCATAAAAATAAAAAAGAATTATGTATATAATCCATTTATACAAATTTGTAATATTTTCTCTTACTAACCGTGGTTTGAGCACTGAGGGTGTTCAAGTACTGACACATTTGGTAGGTAAGTGATTGTTTAATTACTCTGTATTTTTATTTATGTATCTCTGAGGCTCCTTATTCCATATTTATGTCTTTTTGTATTATTCTAAAGGGACTCGTCCCAGAATAAATAAAGTATTATTATTATTTCCATTCTTTATTCTTGCTTTGCGGGGTAAGTTTCTGAGGTGGGAGACCAGAAGTCCAGCCACCTTCATATTAATATTTATTATTTCTTTTGATGTTTAAAAATTTTCAAACAATACATGCTGTGTCTAAGAGAACTGAGTGTTGTGCTTCTTTCAGCACTTCAAGAGGTAATTTTAATCCCATCGTGCCTGCCACTGTTGTCTTTGGTATCAGTCCATTGGAGGATATTATAATTGGAGTGGTGGTGATGTTCCTCAAATGATATAATTCCTTCAATTCGATTGCCAGTTCTTGGTATTTTCTCAGTTTTTCTCCAACAGTGTTGCTTATATTATTATCATTGGGGATCCCGACATCAATAAGCTCTGCTCTTTTCTCTCTCATATCTATCAGAAGGATATCTGGTTTATTGTGACGCACAGTATGGTCAATTATAATCGGTTCATCCCAGTAAAGATTGATACTACCTTTTTGGAGGAGTTTATTTGGGTGGTACTTATAATATGGAGTTTTGTAATCTAATAAGTTGAGCTTCACCGCCAGAGCCTGATGAAAAATTCTAGCCACATTGTTATGCCTCTGGAGACACTCGGTGACAGCTAACACTCCACAACCACCTGTGATATGTTGGATTGATTCCAGCATCCCTGAGCATCCGTAGTTGTTGCGTCTTTTAGAACATGCCTTCTATATGATCTAGTAGCAATAACTTGGTCTTGGGCTATTTCTTTCGATTTATCTGCATACAGCTCTATTACATCTTTGTTGATTCTATCTATCCATCTGCTTTTTGGCCTTTCACATGGTCTTTTGTCTTCTATTGAGGCATTCATTGCTATGTAGAGGCTTCCAGATGGATGGCTTTGAGCTTTATGCCCCACCCATCTTAACCTCCGTGGCTTTATATCATGGAATATAGATTGACCAGTTTCTGTAAGCTAATTTAGTTTAAACATAACAAAAAAAAATTCAAACATGAAATAAAAGTTTAAATGAAAAAAGTAAATTTCCAATAATTCAAAATAAATATCCAGGTAAGATTAATTTGTGGCATTGAAAAAAAAAAAGATGCCTTTGTTTTAAATAAATTAATAGAGATTGGCGATTTATATATATATAAACAAATATATATTGTAAGAAATTAATAAATATCTTTTTTAGACTTGTTCATCAGCTCCAAAATCTATGACATGCAGTATTAAACCAGTTGAGTGTAATTTGTGTCATCGAAAATTCAAAAATATACCAGCTCTTAATGGACATATGAGACTGCATGGAGGATATTTTAAAAAGGTAAGTAGTTTGTAATAATTTATAATAATGATAATGAGTAAAAGTTACTTTTCAAACCTATTGGTGTAGTGGCTCTTTCTGGTCTTTCTATGCCAAACAGACTCTTGGGGTGTAAGTCAGATTACTATCAATATTGATGAAGATATTTTTTTATTTTTTGTATAATTCATGTATGGCACATTAAAAAAAAAATAGTATGTATCATATTTACAATTTCTATGTAAATATTACAAAATTAGCTAACTATTGTCGACAAAAAGAATTAAGGTGTAATGTAATTTATTTCTGACCGTGAAGAAAGTGATAATAGACCTACTTCATTGCAACAGAAAAGTTCATTTTAGCAGTGATCGAATTCTGAATGGAAAAGGAATAATTTAAGGTCAAAGATAGCTAGAAGTGAAGCTATAGAAACTTTAAGAACAGCTGAAGGAATTATATTATTACCTTGGTTTGATGGTGAATGTGAGGTTGCAACGAACATAAAAAACAAGTCCTATAAAAACATGATACAGAAAAAGCATGCACGACTGTCCTCAGAAGAATATAGGGGCAGACGGCGATGTAAGAAAAGAATCCATAGAAGAAGAGAAAACAGTAGAAGTTGCATCTACAGGAAACATATTTTCTGTTTCTCTCTCTCTCTGTCTGTCTGTTATTGTCAATGTTTGTCTTTTACAATCTCTAATCTATCCTTCTAACCTTTAATCTTTCTGTTACTCAATTAATCTTCGTGTATCTATTTATCTTAGTAAGGACGGGGTGTATAAGTTTAGATAGGATGAGAAGAATAAGGTATATTAGGTAAGACTGCCAAGAATGATAGAGAGAGAATCCCTACACATCCAGGGCTCAGCAACCCGAGGAGGCAATCCCCAGACGTTGCAAGGGTAGGTTAGGTAAGACTGCCAAGAATGATAGAAAGGACAACCCCTACACATCCAGGGCTCAGCAACCGAGGAGGCAATCCCCTGACGTTGCAAGGATAGGTTAGTTAAGATCGCCAAGAATGATAGGGGGACAACCCCTACACAACCAGGGCTCAGCAACCGAGGAGACAATTCCCTGACGTTGTAAGGATAAGTAACCTTACTACACTCCCAGGTACAACCTGGAAGATGTAAGGGGGACTGCAGGAAAACGAGGGACAACCACTTTAATCCTACAAAAGGAGAAAGGAGGTAGGTTAGGAGAGAACAGAAGGTGAGAGGAAGGAAGGTAGATAAGGTAAAATAAAAAAAATAACACAACGGTCTGGTTTCAAACTGTCAGACAGAGAGATATCAGGACCCTTGTGGAGAAAAAGCTTGTGACTCGGAAGAGAGTGCCTGCCCTAGGGACCAGGCTCATATTTAAACTAATAACCAGCCCTCAGAACTGTGAGAGGCAACACTAGTAACAATTATTTTAATTAGGCCCTGAGATCTCTATGTCCAAACTCCTTTTATTTTTATTTAATTATAGTTCATGAATACTTATTTTAAAAATATTACAAACAATAGTTATTTACAAAAGCAGTAATTACAAAAGGAAATAATAAATAGCTTCAAAATGAAATACATAGTTCACTGGGCAACTAACAGGTTGCGCTACTAAAATTAAAACAATGACTTGCATTAATTAATGAAATAGTTCATTAGAACAACGCCTAGAGGGCGCCACGTGCAACCTCCAAAACAACCATACCATTACTCATTTACTATTCAACCTTTGACAGAGAAGGACCTCCCGTCCGTTAGCTCTAATACATCCTACCTTTTAATCTTTATCGATAGTTAAATGTTATTATTGTTTTTACAATTTCAAATTAAATCACAACTAAAATTAATAAAATACATAGCAATAAATTGAATTTATAAATATATTACATATAAATGCTTCTTTTCACACAGTTCAAAAATAATAAAAAAACAAAACATGAACATGACTTCTGTTAACAATTACAATTTATAAAGGCCCTAATAAAATATGTTGCATAACATAAAGGTTTCAATGATGTCAGAATGTTTTATCACTTAGTAAATCAGAGTAAAGGTTCGTTCAAACCTCCTATAACCGCATGTAGAAATGAAGAGGATTCCTTAATAACAGATCTAGCTCGAGTAGCATTCAAATGATTGGGATGTTTTAATTCAATGCTAAATGAAGATATTTATCGAAGCAGTAACTGAAATCCACATTGGTGAGGAAGAAGATAATGACTCTTATGGATTTGAGGAAGTTATGGAAATAATAAATAAACTTAACAATAACAAAACCCTAGGTGAAGACGGAATCCCAGCTATGAAAATGAGGCAGTGAAAGAATCCATAAAGTCATCAATGCTTAGTGATGGAACAGAATGGGATTGAAGGCAATTTCATTCCGATGGAATGTAATCTAAGATCAGAACATGATCGTCTTTAGGTTTGGATGGATAAATATTTGGTAGTCGAAATTAGTATGAGAAGGGCTTTTAGGAATTTAATAGATGCTGCAACTGAATTTGTATCATAAAATAGGTTGTTCACTTTAAAAGTGAACCATTATGATTAAATGTAATTTAGTCTTTTATTAAATCTAAAGAAATCCAATTAGATTAAAGTATCATTAAATTTAATCATGAATGTCATATAATCCAAATTATGAATTTAAGATAGCAATTTGTAAATTAAAAACAAAAATGTAAATTACAAAATTCAGATAAACAACAAACATAGTTACTTTAATAAGATTATTTTAAATTTATAATTAAATGATGGGGTTCTGTTTTACAAATGAAGTTTGTCCTGGAAGATTTCAAATCACTGGAATTTTCATAAATTATTAGAAATTAGAAACATTCAGGTTTCAAATTTTATTTTATTTTACTTTCTATTTTTCTACCTATCCATAAGAGTCATAAGAGATTTCAATATTGTTTACAATTTTTTTTAATGTTAAAAAAAAATAAGGATGTATTTTTATTAATTTTGATGTTTATAAAATAGATGTTTCATAGTAAATTTTGATCACATTTTTTTTTTCCTTCACATTGCAAGGACGGAACGAAGAATGAACAAATAGAGTAGTATCGTAAGTCAGAATGAAAATGTAACGGAATGAGCTATCTTGAACTGGTTTGTAAAAATAATTCCACCTTCAGAACCATTTGAAATCAAATGAGTAGTTTTGTTCGAGGCGTTAGTTGGAATGATAATGGAATGGAATGAAATGAAAATCAAAGCTCTTGTAGCTGCAGCTGATTCCCTCCTCTTGCTACAGGGGACAACTAGTTCACCTACCCGCTTACTCGCAGGGCCATATAAACTCGCCCATGCAATGTACCTTAAAAATGTATTTTTATTTCTTATTGCTATATGATGAAATACTCAAATTATAAATTGAAATATGTATATACATTGTAAATACTTTTTATTAATAAAGTTTAATGGCGATCAATTATACTGATCAAAGCTTAAAAATAACTGTTATCGTAATGGCTCTTGATAGTCGATTTAGTCTTGGTGGAATGAATACCGCAGTCTGGTCTCAATGTTGTCAGATCTTCAGATCTCCACCCCTTCAGGGTGGAGACCTTTATGCAGATGGACAGTATATGCCTTTTGGTCTTCAACAAACTGCATTTCATTTCACTTTTATTTTATTTCACTAGTCCGTTATCCTTTTATCCTTTTCTCTTACTCCATGCAAATTTGGACGCTGATCCGTCCACTTGTATTCCTATATACTAAGTCAGAAGATTGGTCCCTCCGTTAGTATTTCATCCTCCCACAAGTCCGGAGATTGATCCCTCTGGTTGTGGTGACCATCCTTGAGGAGTGTTAAGGTTGATCCCTTACACCTCAGATCGAGAGTGATTGGGTGCTGATCCACCTGACACTTATGGTCATCCTAAGGTGGTCAGAATTACCACGGTATACCTGCCAGGTACCAACCTACTGCAGGGTGGAAGGAAGGAAAGCAGCACTCCATGAGGGACGCCAAAGCAAGTATAGGATATATAAGGCCGGAGTACAACGCCAGAAGAGAGTGTCCTGGGACGAGCTCATAAGAACTGAAAGTGAGAAGAATCCCTGGGAATACTGTACAGAGTGCCGATGGATAAACTTAAACCCGCACAAATAATGGCGGCAATAAGATCAGCAGCCACCCAAGTGGAAACAGTTGGAAGGTACTTGGACCAGACCCACCCCAGGGATGATAGTTCCCAGAAAAATGAAGAGGATAAGGCCCTGAGACAGACTACAGAGTATCCGCTTGGCACGGAGTTCATTTCACCATGTGGGACCTGCGGATGGCGATAGACAGACAGAGGTTAGGAAGAGCTCCGGGACTCAACGTCAATATGCATTTTATTCGCAGTTATTTATAGGAGGATATCTGCTAGAGTGGCCCATTCTCTGATGCATCAAATCATCATTACAATAAATTAAGCTTGCACAGTCCACTTTGAAAAAACATTTAACAATGTATAAATTTCCAATTTTACTGCCAGAAAAGAGATGATGTTTTCCATACCAAACAGTAACTTGACTATTTTCTTTCTTGTTGTAGACCTCTCTATAACCTGCTTCAAAGTGAAGATAGTCCCAACTTCAGTAGCAATTGAAGATAAATTTTTTTTCACCATAATAAACCTCGTTTACTTTGTCCAGACCTGCTGACTTTCCAATTGCTTCGAACAAATCTTTCTTGCTGATAAAATGGTCTTCACTGTAATAAACCTGCATCATCCCCTTAATATCATCCGCCTACCACCCATGTTGGAAACAGTCCGCCAACCTGGAGTTGAGCAGTGAGCCTTCCAAGATCAGTGATTGAATGAAGAAAGGCCCAGAATGTTCAAAACCAGTTTATTCCCATCCTACTACTCACATTAACTCCTCTTCACAAGTTCCATCAACTTATGATACAGTTCCTCGTAATTCACGATGGGTACATCCTCCAACAAATACTCCCTATCATAAGAACCATCCCTCAAAAACTCCTAATCTAAATCCACCTGACATCCGACTTAGTAAACTCCACCATTGCATCCTTCTTGATAGATTTCCAAGAGACTATCAAGCCACTAATCACCCTCCTCACTAGAATCCTTACTGAAATTCCTTTTAACCGCCCGCGATGAATACAAAGCCCCTAGCTGTCCTTTTATGGGACACTAATGGAATACACAACCACCGAGACTAGGGGTGCCCAGAAGTAGGTTTTGTGGCACAAGTTGCGCCATCAAAATTTTTGAGGGGGCCATATTTTGACAGTTTTTTTGAATTTTGGAGGGGGAAAATTTTTATAGGGTTATGAATTTTGGACCAGTGGACAAAGGTGACACATGGAACTGACATTATATATAATCTGATAATTTTAACTTATCTTGCTCTGTTTTTATGAAATGTGAGCAATAAAATATCTTAGAGGAGGGGGGGGGGGGAAGGGTAGGTTATGTGCCATCCACCTTGGGTGTGATGTGCACCACTAACTGAGACGAACTTGACATTTTTCTCCATGACAATCACTTTGATATTGCTCTACTGACAGAAACTCACTTTACTCAACGTTCCATATTTCCACATATGTGACTACATCACTTATAGATCAGACCACCCTGACAACACTTTCCATGTCGGTTCCTGCATCCTTACCCCATTCCCTTATTCCTTCCACTCCAACTGAGGCTATTCAAGCAACCTCGGTAATCATTTCAACTCATCCTTTAAACGTTACACTTTCAATTGTATACTGTCCTCCTGGCCATTCTCTTTCCTACAACTTACTTGAATCCTTATTCCAATCCCTTGGATCACGCTTTATTGCTGGGTACTACAATGCTTAACACCAACGATGAGGTTGTCGTTCATCCAATTTTATCTTATCCTCTCTGCCATGTATCCTACCTATTGGCCTACTTCCCTCAAAAAACGCCCTGATATCCTGGACATATTTAACATCTTCCTATATCACAATCAAATCCTTAGATGACCTTTCTTCAGACCATAGTCCAGTTCTGCTTTTATTACACTCTACCTTTGCCCCTAAGCCCTCCTCTCCTCCTATGTTAATTACGGGACGAGTAAACTGGGACAAATTTCGTAATGATTTGGAATTGGACTGGACAAATTGGACTTAAATATCCCACTCAAGACAAAACATGACATTGACACAGCCATAGAATTACTTACAACTATAAGAGATACAATAAATTACAACTCATCTATCAATAAAATTAACAACTCCCTATAAACTAATTTGCCACAGCAAATTTGTATCTTATTAAGCGAAAAATGCAGATCAAAGTGGCCCAGGACTAGATACCCACCAGATAAAACTTATTACAATCATTTAACTAACCAACTAAAAGCAGAAATTAAAAAATATAATATTCAAAATTTACTTAACTTAACAGAAAATCTTACAACTAATTACAAATCACTATTGTTGACCTCTAAGAAGCTCCTAAAATTCAAAGAATTTAATCATCATCTCATTACTGAAAATCAAACCTGATCCAGATCTAATGATGAAAAATTTCAATTATTTGCTCAGCACCTCTTGAAAACCCTTAATCCACACCCAGATACCTTAAATCCAATTCACCATGAGTGTATTGAAGCAGAATTGGATATCCCACTCCAACTGACCCTTCCACCTAAAGCATTCTTTCAGAAATATCCAATATCATACATGAAGAACCTTCCCACAAAGCTCCTGGGCACGAACTAATTACACCCGAGATCCTAAAACTGCTTCCTTGCAAGGCCATTCTATTCCTTACTTATATATATGATGCTGTACTCTGACCCACATATTTTCCTGTTCCCTGGAAACTAGCAATCATTAAAATGATACATAAACCCAAATAACTACCAGAATACCCATCCTCTTACTGTCCTTTCTCTATTTCACCCATCAAGGGAAAAATCCTGGAAAAACGTTGAACAGGCGTTTGATGGAGTCTGGCATCCGGGGCTGTTTTACAAACTGTAAATTCCTACCACCAACATACTTCCTTATTATCCGTTCCTATCTTACTGATAGATACTTCAAAGTGAATCACAACAATGTCTATTCATCCCTTTTTTACCAGTCTGCTGGTGTTCCTCATTTATAAAAAAAATTATAAAAATCCGGAACTCAACAGTTTCATATTGCAAGTTATCCAAACAGAAAATCAAGGTTTTGGTAGGTTAGTTGATGGTTTTAATACTACTTTTGATATGAACGTTATACCATATGTTTTTGTTATTTATGCTATTTTCATTTGTTCCCATAACCTATGTAAAATGCTACATTCTTGAATATGCAAAAATCCTATAATATTGAATTTGATTTTTCACCCTATATATAAAGTAAAAATATTAATTTTGTATTTTCAGGATTCAGATGCAAGGAGGTATGAAATAAAAGATGTAAATACAACACCATTACAAACAGCTAGCATTAGTGTCCGTGCTTTAATAGAGGAGAAAATTATTTTGAAGAGAATTTCTAAACCAAGTGGAATAATAAATGGTACTTATCATGATGTTACAACTTCGTGCCTTCAACTCTTTAGTAGGCGTTTAATTGAACTACTACTAAAAAGATAGCTGGTTGTGGTGGGACTGAAACCATTTCTCATGGTCAAATGTCTGTTTTTTGTGTGGTAAATAATATTTATTCTCCAAATATATTGCTAACACTTAATGACTTTTGTCATGCAACAGCCGTACTTTGGTGCTAAATTTGTTTTAAATCAAAAATGTTTTTCAATATCCTGCAATATCTCCCAAAAAAACAACATCAATGGATCAAATATAACAAATATTTGCATGTTTATAGTTGACTAGAAGCTAGAAATTCATATTTCAGTAAATTGAAATCAGAACGCAAGCAACCAAGGGAAAACTTTTTATAGCCAAAAAAGCCACATTTGTTCAATCTTTTTTTGTTTATAGGGTTAGCATACAGGGAATAGAATACACTAGAGTTGCCTTCTCCCTCTTGTTATAGAGGAGGAGTATGCTCTCATTCCTCCCACAATGTGGGTACTTGCCTTTTCTGCTAGCTAATATGATTTCCTTAGATTTCAAGATATCTTATGTTGTTTTTCAAGTATAATGCCAAAAATAATTTATCTTGTGGATATAATATGTATATATTGATGATTGAAAAATGTAAATGAAATAATTTAATGTAAAAATGACTATGGATATAACAATCTAATTGTGTTCATTAGCCTTGCTTTTATATTTTAAAGTTGATTATTTCTATCTAATTTTTGCCTAATTCTGAATTTGAAATCTTAAATTTTTCTGATATATTCACTACACTAGAATGATTATTATTATTATAAGCCTTAAGAAGGCCTATTGTGCATCATCCTGGAGTCAAGTAAAATAGGCCAGATGTCTTTGCGAACCTGTTAATACTAATAGGATCAATCAGTTCGCAGTGCTTAGAGTGCTTAGATCACGTCACAAGTGAAAGTATTGCAGTCTAGCCGAATTATCACATCTACAAATCATGTGATAGGCCGTGTTATCCTCCAGACCACACAGCCTTTAGATGGAGGTCTCACTTATACTCAAATTAAAAAGGTGCTTATTTAATTAACAGTGACCAGTGTACAACCCTGTTACATGCCTAATGGTACTCCTGTCCATTAGAAGAAGTGATTTACTTCTCTTCTGACATGGCCCTACTAGGAACAACTTAGAACGAGTTTTTTTTCTAGCCTGTTCCCAATGTAGCATAAATTTATTATCCACAATTGCCTTAATATGCCTTTTGGCAAAGCCAAGGCTTATCCCACAAATGGACTCTGCTGTAACCACCACTTTTGCAGAGCCTTTCCTAGCTAGTAAATCGGCTTTCTCATTTCCAGGAATGCCTGAGTGCCCAGGTACCCATTCTACCCTCTCCTTATTAGTACTTCAAAGAAGGTTAAGATTGCCTTTACATTTATCCACCAACTTTAAGCGAATTGCATAACTATTGGGAGCCCTAATTGCCACTTGACTATCCGTATATATGAATGAAAATAATTTTATTATTCTGGGATTAGTGTCCCTTTAGAACAAGTTACAAATACAGAATATATATTAATATTTTGGTGTGTCCATAAAATACAATTTAATATTTACAGGTTGATTCGGAGTACAATAAAGTTATAAATAATAAAAAGATATAAATACGTGTAAATATAAAATATAGAGAGAAAGTAATTAAGTAAACGTAATATTGATGTATTACAAAATAATCAGAGTATCATGGTGTACTTTGAGATTTTTACAGCTTAGGTTTTTAAGTGCATTTCATGATCAATCGGATTGGGAATGGAGTAGGTGTTTGAAGAGGAGAGATTTGAAAGAGGATCGAATATGTGTCAAATATGTGAAGGTATAGAGTTCCAGAGGGAGACAACTTGTATTAAAAAAGAGGAGGAGGATAGAGGTCGAACGCATGGGATCTGGTGGGACGGGATTGAAAGGAAGGAGCGTTTGAATTATAGAATCTGTAGAATATAGGCAGGTCGCCGTGTTCTAATGGCTTGATATAGGAAGGTAGCAAGGAAATCTTGACAGTGGTAGGACTGATAAAGCCACTTCAACTTGGTGTAGAACTGGGTAATATGCGTATCCCTTGAGATCCCGAAGATAAAGCGGATTGAGCAATTCATTAAACGTTTAAGTTTGGCTTCAAGTTCTCCCTAGAGTCCACCATACACCATGCAGCCATAGTCGAAGTGGGGAAAAGCAAGAGAGGAGACCAGGAATTGATGGGTTTTGAATGGAAGAAGATAACGTAGATGTTTAAATTGTTTCAGGGTGGACATAGTACAGTGGGAAATTTGGGAGATGTGTGGTTTCCAGGAGAAGCTTTGATCGAGAGTAACGCCAGGTTTTTAACGGTGGTGGGGAAGGAAATAGATGAGTTGTTCAGAAAAAGATTAGGTGCTGAAATGGATTTGAGGAGTGGGGGGGATCCAATCAGGGCGCCTTTTGTCTTCTCCGTATTTAATGTCAGCTTATTAAGATTTGCCCATGCACATATTCTATTGATATTTTTTTGCAGTTTCAGGATGGCATTAGAGGAATCTATCGGGTTGAAGGAAAGATATATTTGGACGTCATCTGCGTATAGGTGATATTGACAGTGTATGATAGAGGAAGGGAGGTCATTGATGTAGATGGAAAAGAGGGTGGAGGATAATGAGGGACATTGTGGGACGCCTCTGGATAGAGGTAGAGACATTGATTGAGGGTTATTAGGAACTACAACGTACTGGGAGCAATCGGTGAGAAAGGATTGGAACCACTTAAGGGCACTAGATGATAAGGATATATTTTTAAGTTTGGTTTGGAAGATATTATGGTCAACTGAGTCGAATGCTTTAGAGAAATCAAGAAGGATCGGGATGGTGAGTTTCTGTTGATCTATGGCTGTGTGGAGATCTTGGGAGATTTTAAGGAGGGCAGAATGAGTGGAGTAGTCTGGTCTAAAACCAGACTGGAAGCAGTTAAAATGTTTATTTGAATATATTGTTATCAATGTATTCACAATGCCTTCCCTTATAAGCGATTGAGCAAGTCGATAGCCAAAATCTCATCTTGAAAGACAGACGTATATCTACATATAGATATAAATATTCCCTCATTAGGTTTATCCTTTCTCCAGATGCGAGCCCTTGATCGTTGCTCCATCAATTATTTTCCTATTATAATAAAAAGCAACTAGGGAAGGAAATCAGGAGCTGAAAAGATTGCTTCATGAAAATAGGTGGATTTGGCTCGTCGGATTCTGGTTTGTGTCAGGTTACGGAGAATTCTAAACGCTTGGTAGTTGTAGCAAGCCTGGTATGTCTAAAGCGTCTACGGGCTGCGTCACGTCTCCTCTGAAGATCTTTAATTTGCTGACACATCCAGGGAGCCAGACGTCTATGAAAGGTAGAGGTTTTGATGGGAAAAAATAAACACATACATATATATATATATATATATATATATATATTATATATATATATATATATATATATATATATATATATATATATATATATATATATATGCATAACCACATAGAGAGGAGAGTGCAGAAGTTAAGTAAAAAATAAAATACTTTTAAATAAAATAAAATACACTTTTATGAATAAAAAAGATGAAAGGTAACAAGAACAATAAAATATTATACCTACTCACACTGCTTTGTGAGAGGTGATCGAAATTCTGTTTTATACTCAAAACAGATAAGAAAAAGAAAAAAAAAAAAAGAAAAAAAGATAATGTATAAAGAAAATTAAAACCTTGTTGCATAATATATACTTAGCTAGCACCTGATTGAATTGTGAAGAGGAATTGGAATAAGAGGGTTTTAAATGTGGATAAGGATGGTGCATGGCGGATTTTTAATGGTATGGAATTCCAGAATGCAGTGGAATGGATAACAAAGGAATGTTTAAATGAGGCAGATTTGTGTAAAGGTCAGAAGGATGTGATCTTGTGGAGAGGGTGTGGATTGATGATTTGAATTGTAGGATATTGTATGCATAGGACGGACGATGATTATTGATTGTTTGGTGAAGAAATGTGCCCTAGTGGGACTGTGTAAGCTGTGAAAAATATATGAGGGTCGATGAGCTCTAATGATTTGGTACAGAAAGGTGGCTAGGAAGTACTGATGGTGATAGGATGGGTAGAGCCACCTCAACTCCCAAAGAGCCAAGTGTAATACTAGGTAATATGCGTATCCCTTCAGATTCCGAAAACAAATCGTAGTGCGCAATTCATTAGGTGTTTAAGTTTGGCCTCAGAATCTCCCGAGAGTCCACCGTACACCATATAGCCATAGTTAAAGTGGGGGAAAACAAGGGAGGAAACTAGGAGTTGACGGTACTTATATGGAAGGAGATATCGTAGATGATTGAACTGTTTTAGGGTAGAGATAGTGCAACGGGAAATTTGGGAGATGTGTGGTTTCCAGGATAGGATTTGATCAAAAGTAACACCTAGGTTTTTAACGGTGGTGTGGAATAAGATATGCGAATTGTTCAAGAGGAGATTGGGAGATACCGGGTAGGATTTGAGGAGTGAGGGGGATCCGATCAAGATGGCTTTTGTCTTCTCGGAGTTCAGAGTGAGCCTATTGCGGTTTGCCCAAGCACTTATTCTGTCAATGTCTTCCTGAAGTTTTAGGGTGGTATCTGAGAAATCTGTCGGATAAAAGGAGAGGTAAATTTGAATGTCGTCGGCATACAGGTGGTATTGACAGTGCAGGATAGAGGATGGGAGGTCATTTATATAGATGGAGAAAAGGGTAGGGGATAAGGAAGAGCCTTGTGGGATGCCTCTGGTCAGGCTCAAAGTGTGCATTATGAGTAGGAAGTGACTTCTCGGAAGACTTTCATACTAACTGCGGTATAAGACAGGGAGATGCTCTAGCCTGTCTTCTTTTTAACTTTGCTACAGAGAAAGCAGTGCGTATGTCCGGAATCCAACTCCACACAACCCTTCTTAACAATACCATTCAGCTTTAACGAAGAGAGAGAGGAAAGGTCACAATTTTCAGGTTTCTGCTACTAAATACATATGCCTTCCCAGCGACAACTTTCTGAAAAATTCAGGTACAATGCCCCCATCCTGCAATGCACCAGAACCTATCCTATACAATACCCTGATCTTTTTTCTTGAGGGTCTTTTATTGGCGAAGACAAAGAGAATAAATGAAACAAAAAGAAAATGTGCTGCACTGTGAAACGACATTATTGGGATTGTCAGACTAAGAACCTTCATATCACCAAGAAAGGCGGCTTGCACTAAAGATTGTGTAATTGGCAAATGTAGATGCTGACCTGTTCTGCAGCGTGCCTCCTCTGCCAAGGGCAACGCCTCAACCGTGTGCCTATTGCTGAGGAAGACGATGACCAGCAGCCTCACGTCCAAAGAGAATAAAATTGTGAATCCATATAAACCTGTGAGTATAATATTAAGAAGTTGTTGATAACAATGAGGTCAATAATTTTATGTATTTAATGTAAAGAAATAGAATAAAATTATCATTTGTGATGCAAAGCTTTTTTTCATTCTATTTAAATACAAAGCATTTTGAAGCTGTCCAAAAGCATAACTATCATTTCTTTTTTGATTTCTTTTGAAGTTAAAACATTTATTGACTGTTATATTAAAATAACAATAATAAAAATGAACTTCTTAGTAGCACTCTAATAATATGTCTACATTAGGAGATGACGGGGCCATCTTCTTTTCAGATGCCTCGGAGGGTTATCAGAAATTGAAGAGGAAGCAAGGTTAGAAATGAGAGGGTTGGGATGATTTTGAAGTTTATTATAGTAGGATAGGTATCTGGATTGGGTCAGACCTGAAACATAAGAAACATTAAGGTCATTATGGGTGGTTTTATTTGTAACAAAGTAGGGAGCATTGAGGATTTTATGAAGGATTTTGGATTATAAGGATTGGATACGAGAGGAATTCTATGGTCTATTGGAGTCCCATAGCTCAACTCTGTAAGTGCAAATATACCTTATCATAGTCATGTATATGAGTCTTTTGTAATTAATTGAAAGTTTAGAGGAAAAACTTTAAAATGTAATTTTAAATAGAGGGAATCTGAAACAGAAATCAATGTTTAGGAAGGCAGTGTTATTCTCTCCATAAGATTTAAATCATTTGAATGATAACAAGAAATGTTTTAATAGTATTTAAAAAGGTTTATGAAAATAAACAAATATTTCAATGAAGTAGATGAAGGAAGAAAACCGATTTTGTGATCTTAGGAGATTGCATTATTAAATTACTTCCATTTCTATAAAATAAAAAGATCGAATTATAACGATAATGTATTGATAAATGATTATCAAATGAAATTTTAAGGGAAACAAAAGATTCAACAAACTGCATTACTAAATAGGTTACCAAAAATTTTCCCCGGATTTTCACATCTTCCAAAATTGTGTTTTTAGTCGCGTCTGCTCAGCGTAATCCCCCACTTTGGAATGGCAGACGATGTTTTCTGTGAGCCCCAGTCCATCTAGGTTTCATAGGTATAAACGAATATCTGCTTACATTTTTCCGAAATTTCTCCCAAAATCGTGTTTTTGATTCGCATCAGTTCGGCGTAATCGACCACCTTGAGTTGTTTTCTGTGAACCCCTGTCTACCTAGATTTGATATGTTTAAACAAAAACCTGCTTAAAATTGCCCGAAATTTCTCCCCCAAAATCGTGTTCTTCAGTCACGTCTGTTCAGCGTAATGGACCACCTTGAATTGGCAGACTGTTTTCTGGGACCTAGTTTTAATAAATATAAACGAAAATCGCACAAAGTTTAAGTCAAAACGTGTGTTTTTGATTTGCGTCTGCTAAGCGTTATCGACCAATTTGGATTGGTTATTAAAAATAGTATAATTAAAAATAATATATGCTATTTGTAATCAACATTAGGCCAGTTAATTGTAAATAAATAGTTCATTGCAGAGTATAACAGGTTATATAATGTTAAAGAAATTTATATTGTTGAAAATGGCTCGAGAAGCCGAAACGTTGAACAATAAATAAATAATGTGAAAAAATTTATTATTGGTGACCTTTGCTTATGGCCTAGTGGTTTTTATTTTGTTAAAAATAAACTTTAAGTTTAAATTGATTGTTTGCAAATGAGGTATTACGATGTTTTATGTGACCTCCAGTCAATCTAGTTTTGTGAGGTGTAGGAGAAAATTTGCTTAAAATGCTCCAAAATTTTGAACTTTTTGATGGATATCAATGCCCCTAAAACCTTAAATCGGCCTGAGCTGGCAGAGGAGCATTTTCGTATTACCTAAAAGGAGTAATATCAGCTTGTTAGGTTGAAAATTAGCATAAAATACTACGGCTTTTTCGGCTCTAGCTCCAGGTCTAGTAGACGTCAGAACTTTTGAAATGTTCACACCCTAAGCATCCTGAACAAGTTTCTGAAGGAATTGCTTAGGTCCCTGCCCAAGCACTCTACACCCCTTTTGGGCTGAACATTTACTGGACTATTATCTGAACTACAAGAAAAAAGCTGTTTGTGTAGGTAGGTGTATAGGAATGTTTATGTGTGTTTGTCCATAGAGACAAATTTAGTTCTGTTGCAAGAGCATCTGAAATCAGAATGTGTTTAAAAGTAATATTAAGAAGTGATCTGGCTGCTACTTCCCAGGAGTTGATTTGACAGAGTTATAATGTTTATTGGTTAATATTTTCATAATGATACTAACATACCTTTTTGTTTTCATGTTGAGTCGAACAAGGGACTTTCACAGTCCAAAATGGAGATGAAATAGTTGCACAAAATGTTGGCCTGTTACAAAAATCAATATCAGTTGACAATCCAAACATCAGAAGAACTCCTAAAGTCACTCTAAGAAGATGTGCTCCTGATCCTGGATTGCAGAAAAGAATGGATGGGTACTTTTTCAATTTTCATATAAATATATAATGGCATGTAATTTATGTAATTATTTTTAAAATTTTAGAATCAGCGATTATGAATGCTGGTTTTCAATTGGAATTTCACTAAACAAATACCACTATAATTTGACTAAATTAATATAAAACATTACTTTATTTATCTTTCCCAATGCTTTAATTGAATGAATGAGTGTTGGCCTACTCTATTTTTACTACCGAAAATGAAATAAAATGAAAGTAACTCCTAAAAGTAAGTAGTCAATAATTCTTTTATATCTCTGACTACACAACCTTCTCTTTCTTTCATTTCCTATCACTTAACTCATAAATTTAAATATTAACAATATTTAAAATTTAAAATGTTTTCAGAAAATTTGGGTTTCTCTTTATTGACAAGACAAATGATCGTTTAATTTTGATACTTACTCTGAAACATGTGATAGTAGCAGCTGTTTGTCGTCATATATCTTGTTATCTTAAAAGTGGATGTTCCACTGCATGTATTGCGATTTATGATACTATAAACTTC